ATCAAATAACCATCATTATCAATTATTTAATAGTTATTTCAAATGAAAACAACAATTATATTCCAAGGGCCGACCATTGTTATGTAATTTATTATTTTTTATATTTTTTTCTTTCGCTGTTGTTGGTTAATATTTTGGGTAATAAAATATAACTAATTGTAAATTTTCATGTACTTTGATATCAAACCACAATACAATTGTGTTTTAATGGGAAATGTGATCTTCAATTGGACCACGCCATCACCGCCAACCACCATCATCATTGGCGTCCTCATCAATCATGGGATGGTTAATATTTGATGTAAAAGGCATGGGGGCTGTAGCATTGTTCTCAAACACCATCAAAAAATACTTTCCCTTTTTTCATATTTTATTATTATTATTTTTATTTCATAACTTGATCATATGATAAAGAAAAATGGATAATATTTATAGGGAGAAAAAAAATCTCAATTTTTTGGGTCAAAATAATGTCAGTTTTAATGGTTGTTCGATAATGGCTGGCGGCATGTGATGTCTTATTTGAAGCCACATGAAATTAATAACAAGCAACAAAGAACGATGCAATGGAAGGATATAAGGGAAACGTATTTGAGCAATTTTTTCTGAAACTTGGAAACTACCGATATTAATAACAACGTGCGGCACCGTTCAATTTTTATACCCTACAACACATAGGGGTAAGGATAATATGTCTTTATTTTGTAACACGGAGAAGGAAGCGAGATATATCCACTTTCTGAGTCGATTTATGCATGTCAACAAAATGCATATTGAGATAAAAATAGCCAAACAATACTTGTTTGGCCCAAGGAAGAACCCTATTGAAATTGGTGAGAATCGGTTCAAATTCAGATATAGCTCCCATTTAGTATATCTTCAAACGATTTCGGGTTATTTGTGCACCAAATTGCCAATATCAGTCCAAATGATCTGAATTTCGGCACATCCGACCGAATTCAGTCTAGAAACAAGTAAAAAATCTGTAAGTTCGGCCGGATCGAACTTTTAATACCCTCCACCATTTGGTACAAATTAGGCAATTTTCAAAAAAAAAAAATAAATAAATAAAATCCGTTTAAAATTCTGTTAAAATCTTACAAATACCGAATGCCTATACGACGACGTAGACCTGCATAGGCAACTCTTGTCATAAGTTATTACAGTATTTAAATGCGAATCTTGAAGAAAAATCTGTTTATAATGCAGCTAAAATCATCAAAATACCGTATATAGGGGGTACCGTTATATGGGGGCTATACGAAGGCGTGGACCTGCACAGACAATTTTCTGGCATGGGCTCAGGTATCCATTACGAACTTCACATGCGAAATTTGAAACAATCCCGGTAAATAATGTCGCCAAAATCATCAAAATACGGAATATCGGGGGGCACGGTATATGGGGGCCATACGAAGACGTGGACCTACATGGCCCATTTTCTGCTTTTTGCTGTAGTATCTATTACGAACTTCAAATACCAAATTTGAAACGATTCATGCAAATAATGTCGTTAAAATCATCAAAATACCGAATATCGGGGTGTACCGTTATATGGGGGCTATACGAAGACGTGGACCTGTACAGATAATTTTCTGTCTTAGGTTGTAGTATCCATTACGAACTTCAAATGCCAAATTGGAAACAATTCCGGTGAATTATGTCGCTATAATCATCAAAATACCGAATATCGGGAGGTACCGTTATGTGGGGGCTATATGACAACTTGGACCTACATGACCCATTTACGAACTTAACCTGCATACTGGCAAAATATACATGCGTGCAAAATTTTAGCCTTCTATCTCAATTTGTTCGAAAGATAGCGTGATTACAACAGACAGACAGATATGGCTTAATCGTCTTAGAATTTTATGCTGATCAAGAATATATATACTTTGTGGGGTCTTAAATGTGTATTTCGAGGAGTTACAAACGGAATGACAAACTTAATATACCCTCCATACTATGGTGGAGGATATAAAAAGGAAAGGAGTATCGACAGATTTATACCCTTAGCCTATGTTTAATTATAAGACTGATATATCGACGTGCCAGATTTGGACTACATAGACTACATGATATATGTGATAATTTTAGGAAAACAGTTGAAATCCGCGTAAGGTACCTGTATATGGCAGACCGAAGTAGTCCACTTCATCTAAAACTGATAAAAATATTGGGTTGGGCAAAATTGAAAGAGAATCTAACATGTATTTCCAATTTTACGGTTGATTACAATTTTAACTTTTTGTGGGGGAGATACAATAACAAGCTCACCGATATATTCCAGATCTTCGGATGAGAGAAATACTTAGATATATCAAGATTGAAAAGAATTACTGACTTCTTACGCCAGTTATGAGGGATATAATTTTTGAAAATTTTGCTCCGTTGTGGGGTAGGTGCCAGAAGCAGTGGTCTTATATATCCCTTATTTATACCAGATCTTGTGTTAATAAAAATATTGGGAATTATGAAATTTTAAGAGAATCAGTTGCTTTTTCCGCTTTTTATGAGATATATAATTAAAAAATTTTGAAAGGTACCAGAGGGAGTGGGCTGATATATCCCATCTACACACCAGATCTTGTGTTCATAGAAATAATTGGATGTGCCTAGTTTGAAAACAGTCAGATGCTCAGTTCGAATTTAATGATCGTAATGGGTTTTCAACATTTTGAACCTTTGTTGAGTAGGCATCAGGAGGCGTGGCCAATTCTATTCAATCTTCATACCAAATTTAGAGTTGGCAGAAATAATGGGCTATGCTAAATTTGAAGACAATGGGACTCTTATTTAACATTTCATAAGAGTTATTATTATTCCAAATTCCGACCCTTCCTAGCACTCATACATTTTTTGGGAAAGAGACCTGAAAAATTGGACTGATTTTGCCCATCTCCGACTTCGATCTAATTTTGGCAATAATATTTGAACCAAATCGAACACTCCATTCGAGAGTTATGGCGCGCACCAACCCGCCAAATAGACAGACGGAAATTGGAAATTTGGTCCAAAAAGGACCTATGGTCTAAATCCGCTATACAGGATGACATGAAAAAAACTGCAACCAACTTCAGACTCCTGTCATTTCTAAGCCACTCGTCCAATAGCTGTAGATATTATTTCAGTGACAGCTCATTATATTGTTGACAAGTGTACAAAAGCATTTTGATGAGAATTATTCGTGATGGAATTCAAGCGTGATAGTGTGATTTCTTTATATTTGGCTGAAAAACGACAAGTCGCTATCGTTAGAGCACCCCGGCATTTAAATGTGAATAAATCCTTTATGTCTCGTACCATCGCTCGTTACCGTGATTCTGATAGCGTAGCCCGACGTCAAGGAAGTGGACGAAAGAAAACAGCAATATCAGCAGATATGCTTCGAAAAGTAAAGAAGCGACTTGATCGAAATCCGCGTCGCAGTGGCCGAAAAATGGCTGAAATGGGCTGAACATATCGCAATACTCCATTCGGCATATATTGAAAAATGAGTTCAGGGTAAAGCCATTGAAATTCAAAAAAGAGCAAGAACTTACACCGCAACACAAAGAAAGTAGACTCAAAAGAGCTAAAGAGTTGGTTCGCTTGGCCGAATGTGGTGAACTGACGAATTTGGTCCTCTCCAATGAGAAAACATTCGTTGTCCAGCAGCTTGTAAACAAACTTGCCAAAGAGGTCAGCTGAAAATGTGCACCTTCGGTTAGCCACTAAAGCTCAATTTACTATTACTATTCGATGCAAACTTTCAAAGTGCCGATACATGTGTCATCTTTTTTTATACCCTCCACCATTCTATGGACCGTATATTAACTTTGTCATTCCGTTTGTAACACCTCGAAATATACATTATAGACCCCACAAAGTATATATATTCTGGATCAGCGTAAAATTCTAAGACGATCTAGCGATTTCCCTCTGTCTGTCTATCTGTGGAAATCACTCGAGCTTCCGAACGAAATGAAGTAGGTTGATAAAATTTAACTCAAATGTATATTATGTCTGCAGGACTTTTGGTATTGAAAATGGGTGATGTAGGTCCACGTATTGGTATAGCCCCCATATAATGGTACCGCCCTTTTTCGGCATTTTGGTGATTTAAGCGACATTATTCACCGGAAATTTTTGAAATTTGGTATTTAAAGTTCGTAGTAAATACTACAGCCGAAGACAGAAAATAGGCCATGTAAGCCCACATCTCCGTATAGACACCATATAACGGTACCTCCATATTTTCGGTATTTGGATGATTTTAGTGACATTATTTACCGGAATTTTTCTAATTTTGGTATTTGAAGTCCTTAACGGATGCTACAGCCAGCCAGATAGAAAATTGTCTGTGCAGGTCCACGTCTTCGTATAGCCCCCGTATAATGGTACCTCCCGATATTCGGTACTTTGATGATTTTAGCGACATTATTCACCGGAATTGTTTTAAATTTGGTATTTAAAATTCGTAAGGGATGCTAGAGCCTATGACAGAAAATTGTCTGTGCAAGTCCACGACTTCATATAGCCCCTATATATTGGTACCGCCCTATTTTCGGTATTTTGGTGATTTATGCGAAATTATTCACCAGAAATGTTTCAAGTTTGGTATTTAAAGTTCGTTCTAGATATTTCAGCCTTTGGCAGAAAATTGTTTGTGCAGGTCCACGTCTTCGTATAGCCCCCATATACCTCCAATATTCGGTATTTTAATGATTATAGCAACATTATTCATCGATTTTTTTAAGTTTCGCATTTGAATTTTCAACGGATTTTATTTTTTTGAAAAGTGAAAAATTCTGTCCAAATGGTAGAGGGTATTAAAAGTTCGACCCGGTCGAACTTACAACTTTTTTACTTGGTATCTCTACCTTCATAATCTGCTGGATTTTCCCCATAATTATTAAAAAATTGAATTTTGTTGCACAGTGTTATTATTAAGGTCATAGCTATTTTTTTTATGATCGAGAGAAATAGAATTTATATAATTCCAAATTAAACCTCAATAGTTGTGACATTCCAAAAAATAATCTTGTTCATCAAAACATTTGCCATATAAATATTTAATTATTTGATTGACTCGAATCATGCCATGCTAATTAGAAGAAATAATTTATAAATATTATGGATGCTTGTTAACGAGACATTAAACGTAATTGGATAATAAAACAAACTACAACAATAGCGGGGAAAATATGAGAATAATTAATATTCCGATTTTATTTATACTCTATGCCATAGGCCATGGCGAGGCTTTCAGTAATCAGGTAAACATTTTTGAAAATTTCCTGTTAAATTATCCTTCCAGAAAACCTGGTCCATTGAAATGAAATCGGTGGAGGTAACAACTTCCAATCCGGATCTAATGGATTTCAACGGTTTCAAAGTGAGTCGGGTGTCGCGTGGCCTCTATGCCCTGTCAGGAAACATTGTTTTGAATTTTGAAATCATTGAAGGAGATGCCAATGAGGTGGGGTTGTCTCTCGATTTATTTTTTTTTTTTTTTTAATAATTTCAATTTTGTATTTTTCAGATGGAAATAAACATGTATTACAGTTCCACTGGCAAGAACGACTATCGTGCTCTACCCTTTCGCATATATCGCCAACATGTCATTGATATTTTGAATTCGGTCTACAAAGAGGGTGCCATGGAGAATTTCGCCTCCTGTTCAAATCTACCACAATTCGAGGATAAATTTGAACCACCCCTCGTAAAGGATACCTATTACATGGACAAGTGTCAATTTGATGAATCCGGCTTTCCAAATCATGCCCAGGAGGGTTTCTATAAAATTGAGGTAATCGGTTATGGGGAAGTTGATTGGACAATGATACTGGTCTTTAAATTGGACGCTGATGTGTGAAATTGTGAAAAAAAGTAATACAATATATGAGAAATAATATCGAATATATATGTAAGGGTTTGAAAATCACCATATAAAGGATTTTTTGGCCCCGAACCCATTAGAAAGAATTATTTTTTAGCTGGGTCCAACATAACTGTTTACCGGATATGATTTTAGAATTTGTCATAAACTGTTTTTTTTTTTTTTTTTTTTTGGAGAATCAAAAGCCTTTGCCGGAATCCATGACCATTTTTTTCTGTTTTAAGAAATTTTATAAAGGTTTCCCTACTTGGTACTAATATTTTGGTTATAGGACATGCAAAGATGCCAAAAGTATTGGCTACATACTTGGTTGCCCCAAAACTGTTCGCTGGGTAGCTAAAGGTCTCAACATGTCTTACAATGTAATAACCACCCTTGATTCTCCTACTCCATTTGTAAGCTGCAAATGTTGATGTCACCACACAAAAAATTCGTCATAGGTCAGGTCGTCATTAGTAAACCTCATAAATTTTATGGCACCCTACATATTGTATATGCGATTGTGTGTGTAGGTATGTGTGTGTCATAGAAACATAAACTGAACTTGCTTTTTTTATCTGCACTTTGCAATCACCAACTTTTAACTGACCTGACCTTAAACTTTAATGCGATTGAACTTTGACATGCAGAGCACATAAAAAACGCAAACACACATTCATACAAAGAGAAATTTCTAGCTAATGGAGAATTTGTAAACTTACAAGCCAGTCATTGTTGTAAGCTCATTTGAGGTGGAGAAATTTTTACAAAACAAGTAAAAAAGCTGTAAGTTCGGCCGGATCGATCTTTGAATACCCTCCACCATTTGAAACGATTTTGGCAACTTCAAAAAAATAAAATCCGTTAAAATTCTGTTCAAATCTTATGAATACCGAATTTAGACGTTGTATTAGGGTCTATACGACGAACAGCCGATGGTCGCTCTCTGCTCGTATTAATCGACCGTTTGTTTGAAGGCCATAATTCGTGCTAAAGGTGACCAATTCGGACAAATCTAAAAATTTGATGCTATTTCCAAAATTTTCATTCAATAAAATTTAAAAAAAAAAAATAGAAATTATGACGATGGATTTTGTTACAGTTTTTTTATATATGATGTTTAGATGGCGCAACTGTCCAACTTTTGATATATGGTTTATTTGGAGATTTATAGTGAAAATTTTTGTAGAATAATTCTTCTTTTGACACATTCTGTCTAAAATGAATTTTTTTGTTATGTTTATGTTGTTCGACTCGAAAAGGGAGAAGCAAAAATTTATCAAAAAAAAAAAAAAAATGGAATTATTTTTTAGTTCGAAACGTTTTTGCGAAAGGAGGAAGTTAGGAATATATCTGGGAATAACTTCAAATATGACAGAGATTTGTAGACCTCAAAAATGGGTCTCTATGTGAAAGAAGCTGAAAAGTTTTCAAGACGAGAGGGGTGATTTTATTTTAACATTTAATAAACTGCGAAGTTTCTTCTTGGAAATTAAGGTATTTGAAATTTTTAATTAAAAGTTTAATATCTTCCAGAATTATATTTTGCTTGCATGAATTTTGCGTAACTGAAATAATTGCCCGCCATCTATATGTTAGTACAACATAATTTTAATGCCATCTAGATATTATATTTGTTCTGAATATTTAAGAAGATAAATGTATGGATAACATGTTAAAAAAATAATGTTATTCTTAATATATCAACTTAATGTGAGATTTGAGAATACATTGTATTATTTGATGTGTAGATGGCGTCAGATTAAGACTTTTTTCCAGAGATAAGAGAGGGTATGGGTATGATAAAATGCGTAAGTTGATTAAATCCGCCCACATATATTTTCAAGTATTCAAAAAGTTGAAAATTCCCACTTAATGAGAAACATAAGAATAAATTGAAATATGTGACGTATAGATGGCGTAACATATCGACAGTGTCCCAATAGTGTATAAACAGTGTACCTAGTAAATATCAGAGAACTTTTTACAATAAAATCGAATAATGTTAGATAGGAATTTATTTAATAGTAAACTTCAATCGTTAAATTTATGGACAGAATTGTAGACCAAAATAACGGATATTATATGAAACATATTGAAATTGAGCGATACAAGATATATTTTGAAGACCTCTCTAGTTGTTTTTTTTGAAATTCTGCTTGGGAAATTAGACGAGAGAGAAGTCTTTTCAGTCTGGCCACCAATAAGTTGCGATGATTTTCTTCTAAAAAAATTACGGTATTTTAAGGAAATCTTTCAAAACTTGTAGGCCCTGCCATCTACATATTACTATAACATAATTGTTAATACTATATTATGAAAATACATGGTTATAAATGACATATAGATGGCGCAACATTGAAAACATGTCCCAGTTTTTTTTTTAATTATATAACTAATAAATACTATAATAACGTTACTATAACATATATATTTATGTTATCCACGGGAACGATAAAACGTGTAATAAGATTTAATCCGCTTGCATTGTGTTTATGAAAACTAAAACTCTATTCAAAATATCGACTTACTGAGAAATATGAGAATACATTGTTATGTGTAGCGTGTAGATGGTGCTTTGTCATATTCCGAGCCCTTCAAACAATACGATTTAATCCAAGATGTTGCATTTTATTAACATCGTGTTCATATACCATCGTGTTGTATATAATTAAAAAAATCAAAAACTCAGAGTTTCTTTTGAGACAATTCTCAGATCACCAATATCGGACAAATTATTAAAAAGTGACTTTTAGATGGCGCATTAAACAGCGAGATTTTTAACTTTTTACTGTGCGTCTAAGTGTCATTCGTCTGCTTATTTTCTGTAATAAATTATGCCAACTAAGCTAATTGTTTTTCTGGATGTAAATTGAAGCATAAATCCACCTTGTTCCATTTACAATTTTAAAACATAGATTGCGTTCTTTGCTTTTCGGAAAAAATACAAGTTAGGGTAATAAGCTCCCATGTTCAACTTGCAATTTAAAAACAGAAGTATAGATGACATTTATAGTCCTGTAAGGAAGAGTTCCTTCCGGTCGCGCGGGATTAAGTTTGTCGAAGAACATTCATACTGAAGTGGCTAAGAGTGAAACAATTTTTTTACTCTTTCGTTAATTCCACCGAGTACAAATTAAAGTACTATACTTATATGAATTGCGACTGTAGCCGGGTACGACTTGATGCTCCGGTGGCTTACCGCTTGACTAATGGGTTTTGTCGTACGCGGTGTGATGGATGAGCTCGTTCGGAGAAATATTTCGATGGTACCTTGGTAAGGAAGAGTGTAAACCATCTTAAGGCCCAAAACGTATCTTAAATTCGTATGGTTTCTACGGTATAAATTTAAGATCCTTGAAGCCCCACGAAGGATTATCAAGCAAGTCGTAGAATTGCGTTCAATCACTCTTTCTATAAAAGACCCACGACGTCACTTTCGCTATTGAGATCACATTTTGGTTTGGCTTGAATTACAATAGTCTTTTTGCTGTTAATATCGAAGGCCCACAAAGGCACTTTGATTCGCTTTGAATCCAAAAACTTTTAAACTTTCAATATCAAAGGCACACAGTAAAAAGTTCAGCCACCTTCAATTTATATTTTTCTTTTCTTATGCTTACTAAAGCTTTGTTTGAAGAGGTATACAACGAGCTATACACTGGATTCCATGGCACCTAACAAGTCTAACTAACAAGCTGTCACTGATTTTGTCCTAATTTAACTCCTTTAGAGGATAAAAATACCTGTTTCAACCTGGAAATATAGACACATTTTTTATAACAAACCTAGTTTAAAAATAACCTCCAGGGACATTCTTTTCATAAATTTCATCGTTATTATCCAAAGAGGTATCAACTAACAATTTATTTAAAAAATCGTTTCTATTTGACTAATCAACACCATTGTCCATTCGGCTGGACCATAGCCACGCACCATAACTTTATAGAATCCCTCGACGACATAATTCGGAAATCCCGACTCATCAAACAGACATCTGTCCATGTAATAGGTATCCGATTTCAGTGGTGGTTCAAAGAACTTTTTGAATTGTGGAAGATTTGAACAATTTTTGAAATTTGCCATTGCAGCATCCTTGTAGAAGGTATTCAATATATTGAACAAATGGGTACGATAAATTTTCAATGGCAGAATTCGAAAATCGTTCATATTCTTGGCACTTCGGAAAAGTTGAACCTCGAGCTGGAGATGTGAAAAGAAGATTTCAAAAAGAAAGTAAATGAAGAAAAAATTATGAAAAATTAAACAAAATAAAGAAATCTTCTCTAAAGGGTCTTAATTTTAATTTTTTGGGCTTCTGCTGCCATAAACCATACCTCATTCGAATCGCCTTCGTTGATGTCGAAATTTAAAACAATTTTCCCAGACAAGGCATGCAGACCACGGCCCACACGTTCCGCCTTAAAGTCCATCATGTTCAATAACTCCGGATGCGAAGAATTCACCTCGACCTTTTTCAATTCAAAGGTCCAGTTTTTCTAAAGAATGTATAGGAATTGTGTTTTTAACTATAGGATTTCTGCAATTTTAAGTTGATTTTACCTCAAATATAGCTAATGCCGTTATCCCCACTAAGAAGGGCGAAAAATGCAATAATATTCTTGTAAATGCTATGAACTTCATTTTGAATAGTTGAAGGTTTCAATATTCATTCTCCACGAGTCGGTCATATTTATATTCTGTTAACTTGTGTTTTGCTATGACATGATGTAGTTTAACTAAACTATTTGAACAAATATTTTTTAATTGGTGGGGGATTTTAAATAATTATCCGATAATGTGACAACCCGACGATTTCAATTAAGATTGATATGAAAACATGCGAATTTGAGTTACATATATTACTACCTCTCATGAAATGCTTTCTACTAAAGCTAGTGGAAAGCAAAGTTCTCACTAATTAGGAAACACGTTTTCCTTATACAAGATTTATGATTGATTACAAATCTTGGGCCTCTGTGGAAGAAGAGTATATATAGGGTGAGTTGAAAAACTGCAACGAACTTCAGACTGCTGTCATTTCTAAGCCACTCGTCCGACAGCTGTTAAATTTATCCCAGTGATAGCTTATTATATTGTTTACAAGCGTACAAAAGCATTTTGGTGAGAATTTTCCTGAAAAAAGGCTATTCGTGATGGAATTCAAGCGTGATACTGTGATTTCTTTATATTTGTTTGAAAACCACAAGTGGCTATCGTTAGAACACTCCAGCATTTAAATGTGAATAAAACTTTTGTGTCTCGCACCATCGCTCGTTACCTTAACATCAGCAGAAATGGTTCGAAAAGTAAAGAAGCGACTTGATAGAAACTCAGCTTGTGAGCTGAACATATCGTAATATTCCATTCGGCAAATATTGAAACATGAGCTCGGTGTAAAGACATTGAAGTTCCAAAAAGTGCATGAACTTACACCGCAACAGAAAGAAAATAGACTCAAAAGAGCAGAATCGTTGCTTTGCTTGGCCGAAAGTGATGAACTACCGAATTTGGTTTTCTCCGATGAGAAAATATTCGTTGTCCAGCAGTTTGTAAACAGGCAAAATAATCCTGTTTACTTGCCAAAGAGGTCAGTCGAAAATGTGCACCTTCGGTTGGCCACCAGAACTCAAGCGCCGATCATGATGATGGTGTGGGCCGCCATAACAGCCGATGGTCGCTCTCCGCTCGTATAAATCGATCGTGGCATTAGAATAAATGCCAAATATTCTCGCGAAAATATTCTGGAGGGTGTACTAAATCCTTGGGCACGCAAACATTTGGCCGCAGACCTTAAACATTCCAACAGGACTCAACACCATCGCACTCAGCACGCTCCACCCAAGAATTATTACAAAATGAGGTTCCTCGTTTCATTTCCAGCGCAAAATGGCCATTAAAATCTCCGGATGCCAATCCGTTGGACTATTGTGTCTGGAGTATTTTGGAAAGCAGGGTTGGCCCTAAAAAAATACCAAAGTGTCGATTACCTCAAGCAAGCGCTTCGCCGGGAATATGCCAAAATACCGCAGAACAATATTCGGGCAGCGTGTGACGGTTTCATTGGTCGTTTGAAGGCCATAATTCGTGTCAAAGGTGAACGATTCGAACAAATCTAAATCTATTCCATTTGATGCTATTTCCGGCATTTGTTGTATATGGCGTTTGACTTTGTTGCAGTTTTTTCATCTTACCCTGTATGTTTCTGGTCAGCGTAAAATTCTAAGTCGATGTAGCAATGTCGAAAAAATTGAGATAGAAGGCTACAATTTTGCACACATGTGTATTTTGTCAGTAGGCTGGTTAAGGTCGAAAATGGGTCATGTCTGTCCACGTTTTAGTATAGCCCCCATATAATGGTATTTTTATAAACCAGAATTTTTTCAAATTTCGTATTTGAAGATGTTAATGGGGTACTAAAAGGTCCACATCTCGAATAGCCCCTATTAACGGTACCACCCAATATGTGGTATTTTTATGGCATTATAGATCGGAATTGTTTCAAGCTTTGTAATGTGCAGTACAACCAATGACAAAAATTTGCGTATGCAGGTCCATGCCTTCGTATAACCATATACCGATACTAGAGGTGGCAAACTATCGATAGTAATATCGATAGTATCGATGGTTTGGTTTTCACTAGACTATCGATGGTTTGTTTTCGATAGCGATACTATCGTTGAAAAAACGGATTCCGGCATTTATTCAGTTAGAGGCGCAACTTTGTTAATTAAACGACTTAGATATCTTCTATATAAACGGCGTTGTTAATTTATCAACTTTGATTTGTCATAAATATATGTAAAAAACAGAACACTGTTTAAAATTAACAGATATTTGAAAAGACCAAACGGTAAGTAAAATGTGTTTATTTATATTTTGTTCAATTGTTGATTAAAAATGTTTACAGATATTTCTACCTCCATTTCCATAGAAGAAACTGGTAATGAAAATGAAGAAGAACGCGAAAATAGCACGATTGGTGGGGAAACTAATAAGTCAAAAAGAGCACGCCACGGTTTCTCAGAAGTATGGAACTATTTTCAAAAAACAACAGATAAAAGAAATGCTAAGTGTCAGCTGTGTGGGAAAATATACAAAACTAGCGGTAACACGTCAAATCTGTTGGATCATTTAAATCCTTCTTATAATCAGCTTCCGAAACCAACGAAAACAATTGATAATTTTTTCAACAATTCAGTCACCTACAATACTGAATCGGCACGTAAAAAGAACTTGATAAGGCTTTAATGAGTTTGATCGCCACTGATGTACAGCCATTCAGTGTAGTAGAGGATACAGGATTCCGTGATTTTGTCCGATGCTTAGATCCGCGCTACGTTTTGCCTTCAAGAAACACCCTAAAAAACGTTCTGATGGTAAATATGTACAACGAAACAAAGAGTAAGTTGCAAACTATTCTTAAAGGGTTACAACACTGCGCTATTACAACAGACCTATGGACATCGCGCGCAAATGAGAGCTACCTCACCGTAACGTGCCACTTTGTTACAAAAGATTTTGTTCTCCGTACAGCTGTTTTGTCTACAAAAAAAACTGTTATGTTCCACTAATCACAACGCAGAAAATATATCAATGTCTATGCGCGCCGTGTTAGAAGAGTGGAGTCTAATGGAGAAAGTGGTGGCAGTTGTCAGCGATAATGCTAGCAGTATGTTGAAAGCGTGCGAATTGCTTCAAAAACGAAATCTGCCATGCTTTGCACACACTATTAACTTTGTGGTGCAAGATTGTTTAGCGCAAGATTATGTTAAAACTACTTTAGGGAAATGTAAGAAAATTGTGAGCTATTTTAAGAGCAGCACAATTTCCTACGAAAAGTTTAAAGCGGACCAAGGAAGAGATATGCCCCACAGCCTAAAACAGGAGGTACCGACCCGCTGGAACAGTGCTCTCAGAATGGTGGAGAGCATTCTCTTAACAAATAATTCTATTTCAAATGTACTGCTAATGACACCAAAGGCACCGCTACCTTTAACGGCAGACGATATAGAATTTTTGCAGGACCTTAAACAATTGCTTATACCATTTGATGCCGCTACAGTCCAAACATCGTCAAGTGCAGCTGTTACTATTTCCCTAGTAGTTCCTCTAACATGTGGTCTTTTTAAATCTCTTGATGAGTTAAAAAGTACTATGAAGACTTCAGAAGGCCATCAAGCTTGTATATTTCTGCTTGAAAGAATAAAGAAAAGACTATTTCCTTACGAGGAGCGTACAGTTACAAGACTCGGAACATTATTAGACCCTCGGTTCAAGAAGGAAGGTTTTCTTTTCCCAAGCAATGCAGATGGAGGAACACAATTTTTACAAAACGAGTTGAGTGGTATGAACAAAAACAACACCATGGAACAAGATAATTTAGAACCATCATGTTCTAAAAATATTCATCAAAGTTCGCAGCCACCGCTTTTAAAATTCGTAGGAAATAAAATTGCCTCTAAAGTAAGATCACATCAAGTAAACGCCATCATTTCTCTTAGGCAATATTTTGAAAATGAAAATGCAGCATTAGAAATAGATCCATTACAATACTGGAAGGTAAATAATATAATACAAAACTATTTATTAACAAATTTACGTAGTGTTATGTTTATTTTCAGAATTGTTCTGGCCAAATGTCACTCACAAAGTCATGTGCCTTACGCTATTTATGCGTACCAGCAACTTCGACAGAGGCTGAGCGAATGTTTAGCAAAACCGGAGCCATAATTTCGGAAAGAAGATCGAGCTTAAAGCCAAAAAATGTTGATATGCTGCTCTTTGTTAACAAAAATTGTTGGGTCAGTAAAGAATTATAAGAAGTAAGGTTTTTAAACAAATAATACCTTTTTCAAGGTAATTTTCATAATAATTTTAAATTTAAATTAATTTGATTAAATATTTTTATAAAATAAGATCTGAATGTATCTGTAATAATGAATTTCAAATATTTTTTGTTTTTATGTTTAGTTGTTTTATTGAAGCGTTATTATGTGTTTTTTTTTTTAATTTTTAATATAAATGTAATTTTTAATTAATTTTTACTACATGCAAATACATTTTTTTGTAAAAGTTGATCTCAAAGTGCCTTATAAAAATGAATTCCAAATATTTTTGTTTTTATGTTGTTGTTTTGTTTAAGCGTTATTGTCTGCTATTTTTTACTATAAATATAGTTTATAATTAATATTTACTTTATGTACATATTTTAATAAAATATAATAACTGTAATAATGAATTCCAAATATTTTTTGTTTTTATGTCAATTTGTTTTGTTCAAGCGTTTCTTAATAAAAAAATATTAATCATTAGATCATTTAATATAATTGAGTCCGTTATTAAAAATACATGTAAGTACATATCGGTGTTGTTTATTGATATTGACTTGAATGGTTATTACATTTGTGATGAGTTTTGTTAGTAGTTATTTTTATTTTTGATAAAAATCGCAAAAGTTTAACAAAAACCATAATACAAAAATAATTATAACACACAAATTAATAACATAGAACAATGAAAAAAAGTTGCGCGCATTGTTGAAAAATTAATATTGGCATTCCCACATTATTTGATACTATCGATAGTTTTCCAACAAACTATCGAAAATATCGAATGGTGCGACTATCGATAGTTTGCCAGCTCTAACCGATACATGCCAATATTCGGCATTTTTATGATTTTAGAGACATTATTCACCGGAATTGTTTCCAATTTGGTATTTGAAGTTCTTAATGGATACTATAACATATGACAAAAAATTGTCTAATGCAGCCCCATGACTTCGTATACCACACATATAACGGTACCTCCATTTTATACCCTCCACCAAAGTATGAAGGTTAGTTGTGGATTTTTGTAGTTATGGAGGTTTATCATTCCGTTTATAACACCTCGAAATATACATTTTAGACCCCACAAGGTATATATATATTCTGAATCAGGATAAAATTCTATGTCGATTTAGCGAACGAAATAACGTAGGTTGATAAAATTTGACTCAAATGGATATTATGTCTGCAGAACTTTCGATATTGAAAATGGGCCATGTAGGTCCCCGTTTTCGTATAGCCCCCATAAAACGGTACCTCCCAATTTTTGGTATTTTGATGATATTAGCGACATTATTTACCGTAATTGTTTCAAATTTGGTATTTAAAGTTCGTAATTGATGATACAGCCTGTGACAGAAAATTGTCTGTGCAGGTCCACGTCTTCGTATAGGCCCCATATAACGGTACCTCCCGATATTCAGTATTTTGAAGATTTTAGCGACATTATTCACCGGAGTTGTTTTAAATTTGGTATTTGAAGTTCGTAATGGATTCTACAGTCTATGACAGAATATTGTCTGTGCAGATTCACGTCTTCATATAGCCCCCATATAATGGTAGCCTCCGATATTCTGTATTTTCATGATTTTAGCGACATTATTTACAGGAGTTGTTGTAGATTTGGTATTTGAAGTTCGTAATGGATGCTACAGCCTATGACAGAATATTGTCTGTGCAGGTCCTCCCTATATTCGGTATTTTGATGATTTTAGCTACATTATTTACGGGTTTTTTTTAAAAATTTCGCATTTAGATATTGTAATGGCTTATGATAAAAATTGCCTATGCAGGTCCTAGTCGTCGTATAGACCCTAATATAACGACTACATTCGGTATTTTTAAGATTTTAGCAGAAGTTTTAAGGATTTTATTTTTTTGAAAATTGGCAAAATTCGTTGCAAATAGTGGAGGGTATTCAAAATTCGGCCGACCGAACTTACAGCTTTTTATACCCTACACCAGAAAGTGGTCAGGGTATTATGTCTTTGTACATTTGTTTATAACAGACAAAAGGAAACGAGATAGACCCATAGTTGCTTTTGATGATCTGCATAGAATCACATTCTGAGTCGATTTATGCATGTCCGTCCGTCCGTTTGTCCATGTATTTTTGTAAACAAAGTACAGTTCGCATTTATTGCCCTATCCAGTTGATGATGATGATTGAGTCTAGAAGCTAGTATGTCAAATTTGGTGAATATCGGTTCAGATATAGCTATAGCTCTCATATATTCTGTTCATCCGATTTGTTATATTTGTTACCCACAGCCGTAATATGCATACAGCTCTGAAATATCTTTGCCAAATTTTATCCAGATTGGTTCCGATTTGGGTATAGCTCCCATATATATCTTTATCCGATTTCAAATTAATTGTGTACCAAATGGGCAATACAAGTCCGAATTTAAAAGAACTTTGAACTTTAAATTATAATTATAATCATAGCGTGATTTCAAAAATGCAACCGTTGTAAAATACCATAACTGTATTGGTGTAGGTTACACATCCTAGACAAGCCCTTTATGACCTGTTTGCGTGCTTAGGATTCGAAAATATTTTCTGTTTTCTAGACAACTATTTGTTCTAATAAACAAATACATAACAAAGACGAGACAGATAATTGCTGCGAATTATGTTGCAATATATCAATAATTTGATTGTTAATCTCAATCAGACATACATGTCATAATTACCTTTTTGAAAAAGTGTTAAGTATTTACAACCAGTGAAGTGGCATGCAAAATTGTTCGTCCCAACTTAGTGTAAGGAAATCTGAAATATATGTAAATAATTAGAAAAATTAGAATATAGGTTTTTTTAATATATACATGAAGATAATTCGAAAAATATTACAATTATTTACTGGGGGAATAAAAAACAACACGGATATAAAATGAAAAAAAATATCATTATATGAAGTTATTGACGTACGTCTGAACGTATTTTCCATCCCCATATATGTCAACATATTTCATTAATTCAATTAAATTGTTTAACGACTTCTGGCAAAAATTAAAAATTCCATGATATCACCTCAAATTCGAGCATTACCTTAATCCCAACAATACAATTTCTCCCATTTCTTTCTTTGTTACAATTGAAAATTGACACAAATTTAATGACAGCGCGATAACAGTATGTCGCCGACCACTCACACACACACACACACCAGCACAAAAATTGGGAATTTAGGTCAAAAAATTGTAATACAGCAATGAAATTAATCAGCACTGGCTAGGTAGGTAGGTGTCAATGAAATCATAAAAAACAAGACGAAAATAACAAAATGAAAACAACAGTAGCAGAAACAAATAATTGGGGAATAATTGATGTTAAGTAAAAAAATAACAAAAAAAGCATTGTTCTCCAACACCATCAGGAATATTTAATTTTTATTGGGGCGATAAAAAAAAATACAAGGGAAGAATTATTAAATAAGGTGGCCTAGATGTGTTCCACAGCTGTATTTTAAAGTGGAAAAGAAGGAGAGTTGAAAGTACTCCCCAGCTCAAGTTTGGTAACCACATGTGTCACTTTTAGCTCTACTGGTAAGGACAATTATATAAATTTTAAGTTTTGTTAGGTTATGTGGCGAAAAATCGCCACATATCTGGTTGACATAGGCTTAGACCAGTATAGGTCTGTTGTGAGCTCTAGATAAAAGTTACTGAATGAAGACGGCTTGTTTGCAGTTTATTATATCAGGAATTCAGTTGCCTTAACAAAATTCCTTTATTTCATTTTCCATAATCTGATTAAGGTCTGCTAGGGAGTCGTTCCCTCTGAAAAAGGTTACGGTATAAAGTTCTGCAACAAAAAATCCAGTCCCACGCCTACAATACAAAAAAGGGAATTGGGATACAAATTTGGAAAAATTATAAATAGACCATGAACAACTGAAAATTGAATTTATAAAAAATTTCGTTGAAAAGGTGACAAGGCAAGAACTGGTAGAATAAGCATTCCAATGCTTTTGTAATGTTTAGGAGAGTTCTTAATTATTGTCTTTATACCCTACACCACAAGGTTTTCAGGGTATTATGTATTTGTGCATTTGTTTGTAACAGGCAAAAGGAAACGAGATAGACCCAAAGTTCCTTTTGATGATCTGCATAGAATCACATTCTGAGTCGATTTATGCATGTCCGTCCGTCCGTCTGTCCATGTATTTTTTTTTAAAGTACAGTTCGCATTTATTGCCCTATCCAGTAAGTATGCCAACTTTCATCGAAATCGGTTCAGATATAGCTATAGCTCCCATATATATTGTTCATCCAATTTGTTATTTTTGTCCTCCGCAGCCGTAATATGCATTCTGTAACAACAATATTTGGGGAAATATATCAAATACAGCCCAGAAACATATTTGCTAAATTTTATCGAGATCGGTTCAGATTTGGATATAGCTCCCATATATAAGTTCGTCCGATATACCTTTGATTGTGCACCAAACGTCTAATATTTGCCCAAATTGGATGAAATTAGGAATTTACGACCGAATTTAGTCTAAAAGCTAGTATGTCAAATTTGGTGAAGATCGGTTAAGGTATAGATATACCTCCCATATACACTGTTCATCCGATTTGTTATATTTGTTACCTACAGCCGTAATATGCACTCCGTAACAACGATATTTAGGGAAATACATCAAATACAGCTCAGAAATATCTTTGCCAAATTTTATCGAGATCGGCTCAGATTTGATCATAGCTCCCATATACACAGGGTGAGATAAAAAACTGAAACAAATTCAAACGCCGTCATTTTTAAATTTTATAGAATAAAAGCAAAAAATCGCGGAAAAAGCATCACATTTTATAATAAGTTTAGATTTGTTCAAATTGGTCACCTTTGGCACGAATTATGGCCTTCAAACAGTCAATGAAACCGTCACAAGCTGCTCGAATTTTGCTCTGCCGTATTTAGGCCCATTCCCGGCGAAGCGCTTGCTTGAGGGGATCAACACTTTGGTATTTTTTAGTGCCAACCTTGCTTTCCAAAATACTCCAGACGCAATAGTCCCATGGATTGGTATCCGGAGATTTTTGTGGCCATTGTGCGCTGGAAATGAAGCGAGGAATCTCATTTTTTAACTTGGATGCCGCGTGGTGAGTGCGATGATGCTGCCTCTTTGGCAAGCGCCGATCAC